TCAGTTATTATCCAGCTTTAGAATTCCAGAAATTCAGCTTTAGAATTTCTTTTCAGTTTCTTTTAAATTTTTTATTACTTTGCAATAATTTCCATTTTTATTGTATATCATCTTAATTTTCTTCCTCTCTTCTGTTACTCCATTGGACAGTTGTTTAAAAAACTTTATGTAGGGGCTGGGGATTTAGCTCAGCAGCACAGCACCTGCCTGGCAAGTGCAAGGTTGTGAGTTCAATTCCTGGTACCAAAAAAAACCCTTTATGTAGTAGGTCCTCCTTCTGATCTTTCTGAGGGACAATTTCTGTTGGTTTATTTTTTCCTTTGGAGGGGCTATACTTTCTTATTTCCTTCTATGCCTTATGATTTTTTTGTTGTTGCTGAAAAGTGCATATTTGAATCTATTAATATGGTAACTTTGAAAGTCAGATTTTTCCCCTCTCACCAGGGTTCTCTATGTTTTTCAGTATTGAGGATTAAACTTAGGGTATTTTTACTGAGCTACATCCCCAACTCTTTTTAATTTTTACAGAATCTTGCCAAGTTGCCTGGGCTGGGCTTGAACTCGTGATCTTCCTGTCTGAGCCTCCCAGAGGGCTAGGATCACAGGCATGTGCCACCACACCTGCCTTTTGTTTTTGATACTGTAGGCTGTCTCAATGTGAAGGATCATTTTGAAGATAAAGGTCTTCTCAGGGTTTTGCTAAGCCTATGCGTTTCCTGGTGAGTTTTTAATTTCACCCATGTATTTGGTTGCTTTTGAATGTCCTCAACTCTAATGTATGGCCCACAAAATAGGAAAAAAAAAAAAAAGACAAATTAATGGGTATAATTAATGCATATAAGAAAAAGCGACAGTCCTTTAAATTCTTTGTCTTCAGCTGGAGAGAGAGGAGTTCACCACAGTGTGTGGGGTGTCTGTGTGAATCAATGGCTTCCCACCTCTGTCTGCATCTCACAATCAGAAGTAGAGATCAGTGATCAGAACATTTGGAGAACAGGGACTTTCCTGCCCACTCTCGCTCCTGCAACCTGCACTATGAGACAGGGTTGGGGTGGGGGAAAATGTAACTGCTACTGCTCTAAGAATCATCACTGCATCTCCGTGTGGTCTAGTGAGGAGACAAATTCTTGGTGCTTCCCATCCCACCATTTTTCCAGAATCCTCTGGTGAAATAGTCTTCATTTATTATGCCAGGTATGTATATTTGGGGTCCTGACATAACAGCATGGTGCACCACATAAACCAGCAACGAACACTACTTCTGTTTTTCTCATAACCATAGCATAAGGGTCTAGGAATTAATGAATTGAAGTGGAAGTAGCTCTTCTTACAATGGTATCTCTAATCCACTTGTAAAACTTGTGCCTCTCATTTCTGCAACTTTGGATGCTTCTTATTTAGAGGTCTTATTTCCAAAGGAGGAGTTCCTAGGGACCACAGGAATAGTTCCACTGAACTAAAAATTGAGATTGCTATTGGCCATTTGGGTTTCTAATTTCCCTGAACCAATAGGCAAAGAGGGGCTTACTTTATTTGCTGGGTAATTGATACAGATCATTGTAAGTAAGTATGGTTGCTGTACCTTGAGGACAACCAAGAACATCTTGGTTGGACTCTTGGAGTTCAAGAAATTACTATCTGGTGTTCCTTTTAGAAATTCCATGTCTGTTTTTTTTTTTTTTTTTTTTTTTTT